CAATTTATTGTTATTTCTATAATTCACTAATTGATTCCAGATTCAGTTCTTCCAATTAGATAGTGTTTCCTCATCACAAATTACTAGAAATTAGCAGTTATCCCTCTACTGGATATCATTTAAAACTGGACAATTATCTGTATAGACTATATTTAATGATTAAGTAATTTAATGTATTATAGTGTTTTAGAGATTATGTAATTTATATCATATTTAGAGATTTAGACCTATTTGATTTAATAACTATATACTAATGAATATCGCAATTCATTTTTGTATCATCAGGAAATACACAGGTTGGACTCTTTGTAATATATATAAAAATGGCTAAAATTATTATTATTCAAGTTTACCTCGCAGATATGCAATCAGGTCTGTGCACTCAATCGAGTTCATTACTACATTAAGAAGAATATTAATCATACACTAAATTATAATTTAATATTTATTGTTTCTTGTATTTCGCTGACAAGCCTCACTTTGTAGGTTCTAGATCTTTAAGCAGTTTGAGACAAATATAGTATTATAAATACTAGATATCTCTAGATCCAAACTTGAAAATTTAACATTTACCAAGGTTAGCTCGTCTTGAGTTTTTTAATTTTAGTAGGGATTTAGAACCAGACTTAGAAGAATATCTATTTTTTGTAGTAACTTTACCTTTTTTTTATCACTATTTATGTTTATACCTATTTTGTTATCTAAATCTAAATTGCAAAATAGGGAGCCAAATTTTCTATTTTGTTTAATTATAGTACTATGTATAAAAAATACGACATTATGATGTATGCCTGCGAGAACTGGAAGATTCCTATGAACTAAAATGTTAGATCTAAAAGCAATAGCTTGCTCCTGTTTTGTATGTATTATTAGTTTTAACTCAGAAAATACTAATTGACCATCTTCAAATGTTCTAAGTGGGTACATAACATAGAGCGAATTGCAGTAGTCTTTTAGATCCTAATAGAACTGACAAATAGTATTGAAATTAATTGCTATAGTAGGAAAGCTTCCAAAGGATTTAGAGACGTTTGGTCTAAGATCAAGTTTTCTTATTTTTGTATACAAGGCCAAATATGTTTCCTTAATATAACCATTAACAGCATCAGATAATGGTTGAAAGCCTTGTATTAATCCTTGAACATATTTTAAATGATCCTAGTTGTGAGATGAGGCAGTATTTGATATTGTATAAGGTTCATTGTTATTACCTGTAAAAGTACCAAAATGCTCAACTAATTCTTTTGAAAATTCTTTAGACTGATGAGACAGATTATCAAGCATGTGAACTTAGTATTGTTCCACTACTATCTTTGCATTTTTGGTGACTCTGGAACTCTGAAAAGTGTATAAATCTACCATCGTTTCCCCAAGAGTATTTTTAAAACATTGTGGGTCGAATATATAGTAATACCCTTTTATATTGATATCTTCCTCAGACATCTTATCAGTTAATATACTAGCAATAATTTGCTTATCTTTTAAATTTCGACAAAGTGCCTCAGATATTGTTGTTTGCTTTAGCAAAACTTTTCTTGCTTTTACATGTTACTGATATGCATGCTTTATCTTAGACCAGAAGCACTAATAATAGTTACGAATCTGCTTTACAATGGAAGGACTGATTGCAAAAAATGCCTACAAAGCGAATTGCTTCCATGCTAAATCAGAATTTTTATTTGTGGGTTTGGTGTGATCAAAAATTTATGATTCTAGTAAATCAATAAATTCAGCAGGTATTTGAAAAGTAGTTAAAATAGAATAAATAATTTGTGTGGTTTGGGGTGGTAGTGATCTTTCTGAATTGTATAATTCACTCCAAATATTTTCTAGGTCAAATTTGAAAAGAGCGTCATATTTAAGAGAAAAGGTGTTTTGCTTTACAGCATCTAATGAACGCAATTTTTGGTCCAGTAGCGTCTTAATAACTTCTCATTGCCATCTTCTTTCTGCAAATTTTTCGAAAAAAATAATCTTTGGATTTATTAAAAAAATAGATTGCAAATTATTCTTTGACTTAAGATCGCTCGCTATGAAATCTTCGGATTTCTAGTAAGATAGAATATATTCATGTGATTTGCTCTTAGATAAACAGGTCTTGCTTTGAGTCTTGTGCTAGAAAATATATATTCAAAAAACTAGTAAATTGATATACAAAAAATACTTTATATTGAATAGTAATAAAATCTTCTCAGTGGATATATTCGAATCACTCTCAGTAGTGTGGTTTGGGGGGTTTAAAACTCATGAAGTCTGCATCACCTTCCTCCTCATATACGCCCTACATCAAAGATGATGATCACACCCAAGAAAAAAAAAAGTAACTCTGAATAGGGAAGGAATACTCAGATCCTAGGCCTGCTTTGAAAGGTAAAAAGTACCTCTAAGAAGACTATACTATAAATAATAGGGGTTTACTTGTATCAAAATTAATTAACTTACTTTTAGAGGATTGTAGAAAATATCTTCTCTTTTATCAGCTAGATTAATATTGGATGTGGAATTAGTATTACCTCCAACAACAGAAATATCAAGATTTTCAAATTTGGCTTTTTTTATAGCACAAAGAGCTTTTTTACATAGATTTCTTTTAGAAGCCTTTGATAATAATATGACAGATTTATTTTAGAATAACATAGTGCTTATATAGCAGGTAAGTAATTTTTATAAAAAATTTTTTTAAGAAAAAAGTAAAATTGGAACAGATCTTCATATTAAAGGTGGCTCTATTTATTATTCATTAGAGATTGCAATTTATTTTCTTGTATTTGCAAGGCAATTTGCCATGAAGCAGTATGCAATATAAATGACTTGGCATTGTAATAATTTAACACGAGTCAACTACCAATTGTTATTTGGTATCATACTGATATTTTGGCATGATAATTACTATGTAAACAAATAATTAAATTGTTTACTAAATTCAGTATCACAATTATTGAACACAGCAAATCAATCAACAATCACATGTTTTCTATATTTGGGATTCTTGTTGAGAGGTATATTTGATACGTATATAGAATACTTATTAATCAGTATTGATCGAATACCTAATATTGCAATTTTTTGGGATCGATCTACAAAAAGAATAGGTGTTCTTAAAATAGCAATCATGTGCTAAATAAAAATGAGAAATAGTCTAAGTTTTGAGCTAAACATATCAATGTATGTACAGTATGTACATTTAATAATATATGGTAAATAATATATAGCATAATATTAGTTGATACTTTTCATATAGTATTATGCAACCCAATTCTAAAACAAATGTCAGGCAGATTAATACAAAAAAAACTTTTATGCTATAGACTGTATGTAAGAATTTATTACTTATTGTCATAGCTGATACTGGAAATGGCTGATGCTAGAAATTTTAATTATTTTAATATGAAATTTTTAAAAAATTTTAGAGCTTTTTGTTAGGGGGTTTTTTTTTACAGTTAGGTTAGGGTTTAGAGTTAGTTTTAATAATAAAAGAGTATATATGGATTTTGGTAGAACTTATTTTTTTAAATCAGCTTATCTGATTTCTAGCTTCAGCCATTTCTAGTTTCAGCTGTAACATTTATTGACCTATAATGCTTGCAAAAATAAAGATAAAAATACAAATTATATGTTGTAATATAAAGCTATTATTAACATATATCAAGTGCATGAAATGTAATAATAAAATAGATCTATTTATATTATGCTGTTATTAGTTTAGATTTTTTCATTCTAGGTTAAGTCCTGTTCATAAGGATCTAAGTTACTATATCCATCTGCTGATAACAATAAACCCAAATCTTTTTGAAAATTTTTAAGTAATATTTTTATATTCTTAATTATCCAATTTCTATCTTTAATAATTTTGAAGTCTTTAGCCAGTTTACCTCCAGAAAGAATAAACTTGCCAAGTTCAGTCTGTACTTGTTTACTAACCTCTTTGCTATTAATATAAAGGGAAGTTTGAGGAAAAACAGTACGATAGACTGTTACAGAAACCTAATGATTACAACAAACTGTCATATATACTTTAGTATAAATAAATAGTGTATTATATTTCAACAAAAAATATTGTGTATATCATGCTGTTGTAGATAACTGACTAGTTCTAGTATCGAAAATGCTTAAACAAGTATTATTTTTAATTTTAGACCATCAAATTCTATTGAATGTTGAGTCATTAGTATATATATCAGCTAATAAATAATCTAGATAAATGTACGATGTATATTCTTTCATATATCCATAGGGATTACGTTCAGTATTTACAACTTTCTCAGGATTTTGTGTTGGGTTATGTTGATCACTATAATCAGGATCCTTAGAGTCAGAACTGATATAACTTTTAGCATCATAGCTAACTCTAAAACTTGGAATATGGATATATCCCCTATACTCTTTACTTCTAGCCCATTTATCAAAGTCTCTACTGTTGTCCTTTGTATTTGAGAAAGAATGTAGTGAATCATTATTTGCTAAGTAGCCTAATGCTTGACAAGAAATATTTGATATCCCTTCATCATGTATTCCTATTAAATTTTTTAACTATTGTTTACAATACTTATAAAAATTCAGATTATTCTTGATGTAAGAGATTGTGAGAACATCTGGTATTTGAAAGGTTACTGCATTTCCTGATAATGCACCTTGAAGCAAGAAGGTAACTAGAATTATAATAATTTTGCCAAGCATGATAGCTTTTGGATGTTATACAGTAACTAATTCTAACAGTAAGATCAAAGAATAAAAAAACTTAATGTGACTTTATCGATTTATTTACTTGGTTTATTTGCAATATTATGAATCTGTTTGAATAAAAACAAGTATTTTATTTACTAAAAATTTTTTATTTCTCCCGAGTATTTAAAGAAAGGCATGTACACAAGAAATCATATATAATTGATATATCTATCCTCTTGTAATGCCAAAACATATAAAAAGAACAGTTTAAATTATATACAAGAAATTTACTATACATAGTGATAAATTACATGAATAAATATATGTTACTATGTTAATTGGTACCTTAAACTATTCTTTCTAGAAATGATTTAAAAGAAATATAAACAAAAA